AAGCCTGCCAAAACGGACGCCGTGTGGGAGTCCCAGCAGGTGCCCTCGTGTGGCTTAGGAAGGGGCTGCAGACGGGACGACACGCAGGCCCAGGGGGGCTCCACAAGCAGAGGAGAAGCAACACGGCCCCCGGGGACACAGAGGAGAGCGGGCAGGGAAGCAGAGAAACGGCCCCACTCACTTGGCAGATGGCCTTTCCCGTCGAGAAGTCCCCAGCACACAGCATCTCCTCTTGCACAGAGTAGGTCTTGCTGTTGCTAAGTCTTTGTCTGTATAAGACGTTACAGAACTCGTTCTCAATGAGGCTCACCTTACCCTCCTGCAGATGGAAGGGCGAATGCAGATGCTCTGTGTGGACGAGAAGGGAACCAGGGACGTGCGCTGTGGGGAAGCCCAGCCATGCCACACCCCCGCTGCCCCTGAAACATGGGGCCTGCTCAGCACAGATGAGCCTTGAACATGGCGGCAGCCTTCCATCCGTCCCTCACAGGCTCCTCTCCTAGTTCCCAGACTTTCCATAGATTCTTCCATTCCCTGCACCTCACTCTTATCTGTCCTAGTCCTCAAAGACAGAAGGCAAATCCCAGCAACACACGCCATTCGTGGGCCCTTAGCAACCACTGAGCAACGCATGCCATCATGTCCACTTGTCTGTCATTGACCCTCCTCCCTTCCCTCCATCCTCCTACCTCTCGCCCCACCATGCTCCCTCCTTCCACCCACCTGTCCACGCACCCACCTGTCCATGCACCCACCTGTCCACACACAGCTCCATCCCTCCAGCATCCGTACCCTGGCCACCAGCCACTCATCTCCCAGCCACGGCTCCCCATCCAGCCACGAGCACCCACCCCTCCATCCACCTGTCCTCATGCTGGGCATCCTGTGGATACCCATGACACAGGGAGCATTGTTGTTAGGGACACAGCGTGAGTGAGGTAAGTGGACGGGACTGTTATAGACCTAATAAATGGTGTGGAAGAAACAGAACAGGAGGAGGTGCCCGTTTCAGGTCCTGTGAGCAAGCAGGAGGGGCCGAGCTGTAGTTGTAAAGACAGAGTGAGTCCCGCAAGCAAACACCGGTGGGCAGAGAGGCCAGCCGAGGCCATGGGGTCAGGATGGTCTGGAGCACTCAAGCAGGAAGGAGGCTGGTGGCTGGGACGGGGCGTGGGGAGGGGCATGGGGGGGCATGCAGGGAGAGTGTGGGCCAACGACATGCGGGCCTGAGCGCCAAAGCGGGGAGTTTGGACTTATTCTAAGCACAGATGGGAAGGCATGTGTGCATGTGTGCGTGCGTGCGTGTGTGCATGTGTGTGTGCGTGTGTGCATGTGTGTCTGCATGTGTGCGTGTGTGTGTGTGCATGTGCACGGGGGGGAAAGAGAGAGAGAGAGAGAGAGAGAATGCTGGAGGCTGGACAGTCCTTGGACTTAAGGAACTCTGAAGCTTTAGAATCACACACTTTTCAGAACTAGAACTAAAATGGTCCAGTCCTCTAGAAATGAGGCCCAGAGGCCCAAAGTCCCGTGGCTGCTTGCCTGGGGCCCCTCAGACTGAGGCCCCGCTTCTCCCCTGCAGCCCTCACCCGCCCGCCTCTCCCGCACCCCCTCACTGTCCTCGCTGAGCATCCCCCAGCCGGTGATCCAGCAGGACAAGCTGGGGGACAGCTGCATGCCAGGGCTCGGGAGGCAGGCAGGGGCGATGTAGGAGGTGAGGTTCACAGGCAGGTGCAGCTGCAGCATGACTATGTCGCTCCCGAAGGGGTGACGCTTCTCAAAGTCTGGGTGCACGATAATCCGGCTCAGGGACATCTCCTGTGCATGCTGGGTGTGCTGGTACAGCCGCGTGCTTCCCAACAGAACCCGGTAGTCCGCTGGTGCGTGGGATTTGCTGGCGGAGAAGAGCTCGTGGTCGCTCTCACCTCTGAGCATGGGCCAGCGCTCTCTCCCTCCCCTCGTCTAACCTCCCCTCCCTCCAGAGCCTGTGCCTGCAGGGGGCCAGGTGGCTTCTGCCTCCTCTTCCCAACCATCTTGAGGCCGATTGATCTTCCATCCCAGTCTCAGGCTCGTGTCTCCCCCAATACACCCCACACTGAAGGAGCAGGGACTCCTCGTGCTCAAGGCTTCCTGGTGGGGCCTCACATCAAGCTCTTTCATTTTACACAGAGGAGCCCCGGCTCCAGCCTCGCTCTAGCCTGACCCTTCCCAAAGCTCCCCACGGCCCAGCTGTGGCCCCACAACTTTCCTGTCCCTTCTTCCTATAAACACCTTCCTGCCCCACAGCCGCTGGTCCACTTGGTCATAAGCGTTCACAAAAGATTTGTTTAAATGAGCAAATGAGTGCATTTGCCTTGTCCCCTGAACACGAGGCATGAAACGGCCCACCCTGCAACTACGTGGCCCGCCCCCTGGAAGCCCACGCCCACCCCACCCCCCCCGGCCCAAAGCCTTCTCCCCAGCACCATGCCGGCTGGGCCACTGCACCTCTCCTGACCTCCCTCCCTGTCCACAGGGCCCTCCCCTCTCTCCCACGTTGGCTTTCTCTCCTGCCAACATGGAGACACCCCCTTGCCACAGAGGGGCTTGTGTGGCACAGGTTCTGATGGGGCTCTGGGCCCTTAAAGCCAGTCAGTGCCTGAGCTCTAGCTCCCTGACCTGGGCTGTGATGCCCCCACTTCCCTGAGATCTCTCCCCGTCTGTTCAGAAGCCAGGCACTGAGCCAGGCCCAGGAGGCCAGAGGAGCCAGCCTCCTGAGCAGCCATGTCAAACTCAGGGAGCCCACCGCCCACCCAGGCAGCCTGGCAGGCGGGTGCCAGCAACCACGACTTCTCCCGGGCACGCAGTTGTGCAGAAGTGGTAAGAAAAACCAGCTAGCTGCTGGCCATGTGGGCAGTCCCAGGTCCCTGACTGTGGTCTGACGCCCAGGAGTCTGCGGATACTGAGGAGAAGCCCTGGCCGAGGAGGCCAAGAGCTTGCCCACACTGCATGGCAGCAAGACAGACCCTGCCCATCTCCTGGGGTATGTTCATGCTGGGGGAGGCACAGGGACTGAGGACGGAGACGCAGGGAGGGGGGAGCACATTCAGGCGGAGGGGACATGGGTCAAAGGCAGGAATGTGGCATGTTTGGAGGCCACACACCGCACCAGAGCAAAGCCCAGAGGAACTGGCATTGGACACCCGTCACCCCTTCACTCCTCTCCCTCCATCCCCCACCCTACCGGCCCCTCTGCTGGCACCCAGGAAGGAGGACTCACTTGAGAAAGCAGTGGGCAGTGGAAACCAGCCAGAGGGGGTCAATGAGGACAGCTCCACAGACGTGTGTGCGCTGGTACAGCAGGCTGGCCTGCCATGGCCACTGGCCCGCCAACACATCCCGGCCGCCGTAGATCCTCCCCATTGCCTTGGGCTTCCCACACACTGCAGAGACACCCCCCACCCTGTCCATGACAGAGACACCGGTGACCCCAAATGATGCGGTCACAAAGGCCCTCCTCCACATCACAGGGGCAAAAACCAAGGCCAAGGGTCAAGGGGACTGGCCAAAATGCCAGGGTTGCCTGACCCTGCCTTCATGACTGCTGCTGAGGGCTGCAGAGCAGAGCACAGGCCAGCAAGTCCTGGGGGGACGAGGGCCCAGAGGGGATGAGGGCCCAGGGGTCTGGCGGGGCGGGGCAAGGGGGATGAGGGGGCCACAGCAGCATCTGCAGGGAGACAGACGTCTCTGAACACCCCTGCTGGGGACTGGGCACATCCCAGACATTCCTTTCAACAAGCACACTCCACCTCCTCGCCTACTCTGCAGACCAAAGAGCTGCAGGTCTCACAGGCTACCAGACTTGCTCCAGATCACGTGTCCAGGGGGCTCCTGTGGCCCCTCCACCCCACCACAGCATCTCAGGGAGGGAGGTTCCCAGGCAGGAGTCTGGTGCTGTGGAACTCTGGGAAAGCCACTCCCCTGACTCAGGACGCGCTGTTTCTCGAAGAAGAGGAAGTGGGCTAATGAAGACAGCCCTGGTTCTGGGACTCACACCTGGGGGCCCGAGAGGTCAGGGATGTGCCCAGGACCCCCGGGAGGGGCCTCCTGGGCCTCTCATTCAGCAGCAGTCCTCCCCCACCCAGCCCCCGTCCCAGGGCCAGGCCTGGCCACCTGCCCAGTTCCAGGGGGTCGTCAGTGGGGCCTGTTACCCACCTGTGTTGGGGTTTGGGGATGTCCCAGGGCCGCCTGGTAAGAGGGGGAGGAGAGAAGAGAGGGTTGCGGCCCCGCCCCAGCCCCTCCCGGAACCCCTCCGCCCACACGCCTCAGCCCAACGCACCTGCCACAGGCGCCAACCGCTGTGCTCCGCGCTCAGGCCGACCCGGCTCCTCGGCTTCAGCCTCATCTGTAGCAGGGTCCGGGGCACGGGAGGCCTCCGACCAGAACCCTCGCATGCCTGCCGGCAGCAGCAGAAACCAGAGCAGGGCCGCCAGCCAGCCTCGGCTGCCGGCGGTTGGCGCCTCTGTATCCATAGCGAGAGCTGCTGACCCCAGCCTGACCCGACCCGACCTGACCCTCTGCTCTGACCCCGTCTGGATCCCAGGCCCTACCCCTATCCCCACCCTGACCCCTTCCCACACCCAGCACCATGTCGTCCTAACCCTGGGCCCTGAGCCTGCACGAACCCCAGCCCAGCCCTGCCCAGGCTTGACCCAGGCCTGGACTCTTCCCCACACCTGGTCCTGACCCATGGGGGGCCCAGCTGGTCCCAGCACGACCCAAACTCAGTGCAGTCAAGTGCTCCTATGAATTCAAACAAAAGACAGTAGAATCCACATAGACAAATGGGAACTACGTGAGAAGGTAATTCATGGGAGTGGGGATGTAAAGGGTCCACAGGCAGGAAAACATGCTCAGTCTAACTGGTAATCTAGAAAATGGGAGGGAAACATTACAGTTTGTCATTTTGAACCATCAATGCCATCCCAATCAAAATTCCAATGACATTTTTCAAAGTGCTGGAACAAACAATCCTAAAATTTGTATGGAATCAGAAAAGTCCCCGAATCGCCAAGGAAATGTTGAAAAAGAAAAACAAAGTTGGGGCCATCACGTTGTCCAATTTCAAGCTATATTACAAAGCAGTGATCACCAAGACAGCATGGTACTGGCACAAAAACAGACATATAGACCAATGGAACAGAATAGAGAGCCCAGATATGGACCCTCAACTTCATGGTCAAATAATCTT